GATATCTTCTTTTGCAAAATACGACAGGATATGCAGAAACTGGAGAAATAAAGTAATATAAGTACAATAAATGCAATTTAAATTTTTGATGTGTTACGCTTTGTTGAAAAGATTTTGAGAGTTCAGTTAGTTTAGGACAGTTTTCAGATGAAAGTTAGTCTAGAGGACTGGAGAACTATATTCTACACATTCACCATATTATGCATTTTCTCTCGTACAAAATAAAAAGAAAGTTGAAGATGTGTATTCTAATTAAGATCTTTACCTTAAATTATTTTTATTAATATATAAGTTCTCTTTCTAAACATTTTTATATCTATACTGAATTTTGGGCAATTGTGTTCGATTTAATTCAGCTTCACAGACATGCATCTAATACTCTTCTATTCAACTTTGTAATATAAAAACTAATATAATCCACAAATATGTAAAGGTGAACTTACAAACCATTTCTCTTAAAATATTCTTTAACTTCTGGTAGTTATTTAGTTATTTTGATTGCTTTGGTCCATTCATCATCTTTACGCCACTGCCTAGGATAGATTTTCATTAATGTCATTTATAAACTTCGTACTAAGTTAAATAAATAAGTGTTTTCTATTGCCAATGGAACTTCTTTCATATATTACATTTTCAAGAATACAACCCTCTCTTTTTCCTAAATGTAAGATAATAAGGAAAAATAAGTATAAAAAATAAATTTCGTTTGTATTATTTTTAATTGTATTAAATAAAATCTGTTGCAAAGATTGGTTAAAACTTTATACTTGTCTTCAGCTTCTTGAAGTTAATTTCTTCATCTTTTATACTCTATCTAACACTTACAAATATTTATATATTTGATATTATAGCGAAGGCTTAGGTACTTACAATTTTATTTACTTATGATATACAATAATTAAACAACTATATATGTATGTACACTAAAAAGATGATTAATTAAACAGTTGTTAAAACGATTTGTTTATAGACAAAACACATTACACATTAGATTTAAAACTTTCAAGTCAAAGAATTCAAAAATTGTTTATCAATTACATTTTCAATTTCTAACAATGAACTGAATACATGGTCCGCAATATCATTACATCTTTCAATATAGGTTCGTAATGTATTGATAGCCGCTCTTGCCTGTTTGTTCGAAATTCGTGGTTCAGTATCTGGATCATCATCACTCTCATCATTCTCCGCATTTTCTTTTACGGTATCAATTATTTCATCATCAGTCAATGTTCCACTAGTGGTTAGTCCATTATCACATGTAACATAATCTTCAAATTGAATGTCTACGTTTTGAATATTCCTGTTCGCATCTGAGTTCACATTTGGGTCGTAATTTTCTTGCTTGGCTTTCCTTTGCCGCATCAAAAATCCACAATTTTTAAAACAGTTTGATATTGTGGCTTTGGATACATTTCTCCATGCTTTATCCACCATTCTAAATGCATGAAAAACATTAATAGAGGAAGCAACCTGCTCTTCCATGTTAACCATCACTTTCCTGATAATTTCCTTTCTATACAATGTTTTAAAATTCCTAATTATTCCTTGATCCAAGGGCTGTAGTTTAAATGGATCGGATGGTATAAATTGAATCTTCAGTGCATTTAATGGCGGAATCATATTATGTGCAGGACAGTTGTCAATAAATAGTAAAACTTTCCGTTTTTCTTTCGTCATTTTTTTATCAATTTTAATAAGCCAGTCACTAAATATCTGGGCCGTCATCCAAGCCTTTTTATTAGCTTCGTAATCTAATGGCAGTGATTTACAACCGGACAAGCAACGAAGTTTTTTATTCATTCCAATAATTAAAGGCCTAAGTTTCTCTGTCCCTGTCATATTTGTTGCTAACAATATGGTTATTCGATCTCTACTGTGTTCTCCTGAATGACATTTTTTATTTTTAAAAACATGTGTTTTGTCAGGAAGACACTTGAAAAAAAGTCCGGTTTCGTCTGCATTAAAAACATCGTTGGGTTCATAGTCATTTAATAAACTTTGCAATTGAGTTTTCCATTCGTCAAATATCTCATTATTTACGCTTGCAGTACTTTCACCGAAAATTTTCTTATTGTTAAATATTAGTTCATGACGCTTCTTAAAATTTCCCAACCAACCATTACTGGCTCGAAAAGAATCATGTTTTAGTAATTTTGAGAATTGTTCGGCTTTTTCGCGTAATATAGGTCCATTTATACTTATGTTGTTATTATAGCACAGCTTGATCCAACCCAGCAAGCATTCCTCTAAATCAGGAAACTCAGCTGTTCGGTGCCTTTTGCAAGATAAATTGCTACTCGATTTATATCTCACTAATATTTCACTCTTATTTTTCAGTATTGTCGACAAAGTACTTGCTGGTAATCCGTATTGAGCTGCCACGTCTTTTTTTTTCATGCCACTTTTGACTGCATTAATAACTTCAAATTTTTCAAGTAGTGTTAAAGTCTTCAATTTCCTTTTGGTACTCATTTTGTTGAACTTACTTGAATTTTGAACAAAAGCTTATTGTACGACACTTACATGCAAATAATTGACCAAAAAACAAGCATTAGGTACACAGATGTGCTACTTATGGAATATCCCATATAAAATATGTAAGTGTGCATATGTACACAACCAAAAACGATAAACTTTGATTTATAGTTAGAAACTTGTAAAATCTAATGTAATAAAAAAATGTAAAAGTCTTATGTAAAAATATGAACTAACATTGGCTTCTATTTACAAAGTAGAAATATGATATCGTCATAGAGAAATCATATTCAGTGTTAAAATTTGAGATACCATGTATTTAAGACTCGTCGGATTGGATTAGCTATATTCTTCGTCAAAAGGAACTATGCATTTATCAGAAGACTTTCTGCATCATCCAAAGTCATTGTTGATTCATATTTCTTTCTAAGCAATCATTACATGAAGCACTAAAAGTGTAAAAATATAACATTACTATAGCTCAACACGTAAAAATAATAAGTTACATCAATATAGTACTTAAGTGACTTCATTAAGTAAATCAGGTAAACATAAAATGTTAAAAAGTAACACAGTGCCGCGCAAGTTTTTAATACAAAAGAGCAAAAGGCAGTTTTACATTTTAAATATTATATGCTAAGTCTACTTCTAGTTACTATTAAACGTAAAGCAACAGTACTATTTTACATCATTATCCTTTTTTTTCTAATAATTTCACATTCAATTGCTCAAAAAATCTTATTTTTTGTATATAATAAATTATATTTTGCCTTTACTTTTAGCAAAATGGAACTTAAAAAGAATAAATGGAGAAACCGGTTGAGGAAAAGGAGCAGGAAAATGTTCAAAAAACAGGCAAAAGAAAAAACTAAGGCAAAAAAAGAGAGAAGCTGCATCTGTGAAAAAATGAATTTAAAAAGTGCCAAGTAAACCATAAAATTAAATAATAATTAAAAGGAGGACTAACGTTAAAATAAATTCACTAGAAACTGAAATATCTAGTACTATTCAAAATATATCTCAATTTCTATTAAAATTAAGTAAGACAAACTTTAAATTACCTTAAATTATCATTCTTTTGCTGTGGTAACAAAAACATCAACAGTGGGATCTATAAAAGTGAAAGAGGAAAAAATATATATTAAATAGTTTAATACACCTACAGGTATACTTAAATTAATAATGAAAGATAACTGGAAATTGTTATACTAATTATTCATAAATTATTAAACTTTATTTATTTAATTTCAAAATGTTTTTGAAGTATTACCTTGACTATAGCATTATCCAGACTGGGAGAATATTGCAGTGTGTAGAAAATAGGATTTTCTCAGTAAAGAATTTCTGAAAATTAAGAAAATATTTTTTAACTAGTATTACTCAT